GACTTTCGGGACTATTTCGGGATTCAGGGAACTATTTTCGGATGTTTGGGACCAATTTCGGATTTATGGGGTTTTCAGGATTCTCTGGAATAATGCGGCATTTTTTTTGCCTCCGTGTCTCTTCTTCGCCCATCACTCTCCCATACCCATCCCTCCACCGCCCTTTCATCCACCTTGGTTCACAGTAATTTACTTAATTTAATTTTTAACTAGAATTTTCATATATCATATTATACGTAATTGGTCAGTCATAATCGCATGCGCTCCACGTTTTTCATTTTCAATTTCATAGATTGTTTATAATGACTTTTGCTAAAATTTCAAAATCAAAAGTTATCAAAACAAATTCTATGGGACTGAGAAGTATTATTTTCAACTTTTTAGTCCATTTATAAAAGCGTTGTATATTAAAAAGTTTTTTTTATATTATTTATTTTTAAATTTAAGTGGTCAGATTTCGCGATGCGAAAATACAGAAAATTAAATGCGATTGCCGTTCTATCCGGCTCGAAGGACCTTGGTTGAGCCGAGTAATGGGTTTTACCGGCTGTCGAATGCAAAAAAATAATTTAACAAATTGAAGTCTGGTTTTATGCTTTTATTGCTCCGTACGCTAGGAGATCTTCAAATGGACTGTACAGACATTTTCTTAAACAATTTGCTTATGCTTAAATATTAATAACGACGAATAGCGGGAGAAGAGCGATATGGAAATGTGCGGTTTAGCGATGCTTATTGTTGTTTGTGCAGCGAAGAATTTATAACCGCTACGACGAGTGACGCGCGCAACGATGGTCCAAAAGTTGTGTTGTTTATGCGCGCACCTTTGCATAAGCTGCTGATTAGCGGTGCGTTAGCAACAGCAATGAAGTGCAATGCGGTGACGAAAGTGCAATGTGGAGCGACCGAAGCATGAGTAATGAAAAGTATGAGCCAGTGGCGTAGCTATCGAAAACGAAAGTGCGAAGGGTTTGCGACGACAGGTATAGTGGGAGCTTAACGCTCGAACAGGTACCTTTCTGAAGAAGCAGTGGTTTTGGCCTTCTTTGATTCGAAAACTTCCATCGGGGAAAAACGTAAAATGGTTGAGAGGCCGAAATCCCGCGAACCTGTTGCGAAATTGATTGATAAGCGAAATACTTCCACTTTAGTAGCCTTTCAACAACGCGATTTTGTTTCGGAAAAAAGCAAGCCATTTTTATGTATTCTTAGATAAGTAAATCTCACGTTGCCTTCATTCTCAGAAGGTCTATTTAGTTTTTTCCTCTCACTGAGAAGACAGGACTGCTGACTGGTCATTTCACGAGGCATAAATATCCGATAGGTGGAACACCTCGGTCGTTTCTTTTTTGTCAGTTTCTGAATTTGAAGTTTTGCAATTTTGTTGTTTCAAGTTTTGTGTTTTAAAAAGGCAAGTGACGGATATTTCAGGGTTCGTATTTGCACACACATACTCTGCTAACACACACGCAAAACATTCAACGTGCACTCACTGCTCATACACATGTGTGTGCATAAGTGGAAAACAAACTCTGCTCACAGAAAAGTTTGTGCTGTTTCTTATTAACCACATGCACATGTGTGTGAGCCGATTTTTGTACAAATTTCAGCCCATGCACATGCACATAATATATTTTTAAAAGAATTTTTTTATTAAACGTTATTTTTTGAAAGACAGTTCAATAAAAAGTGAGATGTTGTTTTGTTTTATTTGACAGAAAACATATTAAAAAATTATTTTAAGATTTGAGTTAGAATTCGAAGTGTATAAGTTACTCTACGCAAAGCACACACATGTGCGTGGGCTTTATATTAATAAAAAAATAAAGTACACACATGTTCCCGTTTTTTTTACCAAAAAAGTACCAAGCAAGTTTTTAATTTTTTATATGCTTTATATTTGTAAAAATAAAGTACACACAGGTTCCCGTGCTTTTTACCAAACGGCACACACATGTGATGTGAGCAAGTTTTTAATTTTTTATATGCTTTATATTTGTAAAAATAAAGTACACACAGGTTCCCGTGCTTTTTACCAAACGGCACACACATGTGATGTGAGCAAGTTTTTAATTTTTAACCGACTTCCAAAAAAGGAATAGGTTATCAGTTCGTCGGAAGATTGTTTTTTTTTTCATTTCATTTCATTTCATTTATTAATCAATAAACAATGTGCTTACAGACTATATTACAAATTTACGCATTTACAGGATAACGCAAAAAATAAAAAACATAAGTATATATTATGGTTTTCATAACAAATGCCTTACAAGTATATTCTTAAAATTAAGCTTGGAAGAAGAGAAATCAAACTCTAAGGAAGAAGAATAAGCATTGAATTGACATAGCACCCTCCTTAAAGGGGTGATCATGCCATAAACGGTTTTTGCTAAGCCAACATAAAATAATTCATTGCAACGAAGAATACGTGGAGGAACATTAAAACCAATTCTCATAAGAAGGAATGGACATTCAATAGAGCCTGAGATGATGTCAAATACGAAACACATCGATAAAAGAGTTCGCCTCGCATCTAAGGCCATAAGGTTGATTAATAGACAGCGAGAACGGTAAGATGGGAGAGGTTCAGTAAATCTTAGCGAGCGAAAAGCAAACCGAGCAAAAACCCTTTGAACAGATTCTAATCTGTTGATATAAATAGAATGGTATCGTCTCCAAATAAAAACCGCGTATTCCAGCCTAGAACGAACAAAAGAAGTATGCAAATTTTGAAAGTATAAGGATCGGAAAACGTAGAACAATTACGACGAACAAATGCCAACATCGCGAACGATTTAGAGATAATAAAATTGATGTGAGTGGTAAAGCTAAGCTTGGTATCAAAATAGACCCCCAAGTCCTTAAATTCACAAATTGACTTCAGCGGCACATTTGAGATACAGTAGGAAGTAGGTACCAGTCTTAATAACTTAGCGTAGGAGGTATAATGACATTTACTAATATTAAGGAATAGACAATTACGCATACACCAATTGTATAAGTTGTCGAGCTCAGCTTGGAGAGTTAGTGAATCTTGCGGGCAACTAATTTCATAATAAATCTTCAGGTCATCGGCATACAGCAAGAAGTTACATTTAGAGAAACAAGAGGAAATATCATTAATAAAGAGCACAAATAATAAAGGACCCAAGATACTACCCTGGGGAACACCTGAGGAAGCAATAAACGAACGGGAAGACACATTTTCAATTACGACAACACAGCGCCTGTTACTTAGATACGATATAATCCACTTCAAGAAAGCAGAGTGGAAGCCTAGTCTCGCCAGTTTCGCTATCAAGATACGGTGAGATACCCTATCGAAGGCCTTAGAGAAATCCGTGTAGACGGCATCAATTTGGAATCCCTTTTGAAAGGTTGCAAAACAGTTCTCCGTAAATACCGCTAAGTTAGTTACCGTTGATCTGCCCGGGATAAATTCATGTTGATTAGGACATAACACGTGCTTAGTAGCACAGTATATTTTGTCTTTCACGATACATTCGAAAAGCTTAGAACCAGAAGTGAGCTTGGAAATCGGCCTATAGTTCGCTATATAATTTTTATTACCGCTTTTGAGAATCGGCGTAATGAAAGCCAGTTTCCAGTCGTCGAGAAACACCCCATCAGCCAATGACATATTAAATATATGTCTCAAAGGCTCGATAAGAGAGGGGCAGCTTTTTAACAAGATAACTGAGAGGCCATCGGCGTCAGTATTAGTGGAATACTTTAAATCAGTTATGCCATTAACAATATCCTCATAAGACAAAAATAAGTTACCGAAGTTGAGAGAATTATTTGAGTCTAAAGAAAGGTCCTCAGGAACAACACTATCCGGGTTATCTAAAATAAAATTGGACGAGAAAAAGTCAGCAAAAAGATTGACAGCATCCAAAATAGAGTTAGCTGAAACACCATTTAGTTGAACTGAAGCGGGAATATTTGAGCAATTCTTTTTCGACTTTATGTAACTCCAGAAAAACTTAGGATTTCTTTTTATGTTACTTTCAACATTGTGTATGTAATTTCTATATGAAGATTTATTCAGCTTGTTAAATTGAGCTCTTTAGAGAGTTGAATATTTTTTAGACAAACATCGTAAATGTTAGACTTAAAAATATTGAAACAACTAGTTGCATCCTTCTTCTCAAACAGCTGAGACCAATCTAAAACCAATAAATTATTATTCAACTCAGTAA